ATACATATTTATTGGGGACCTATTATATGATAGACATAGGGGTAAGTGCTGAGTATACAGCAATGAATAAGAAGGAATTATATTATTGCTGTGGACTTTGGTTTTCCACTCTCTGAAATAAATATATCTATTTCCTTTTAACAGCCCAAGTGTTCATCAGTGGAGTGGATAAAAAAGACATGGTGCATTTACACAATGGAATGGTCTGTGGCAATAAAAAAGAAGGAACTCTTTCCCTTGGTGATAGCATGGATGGACCTGGAGACTATTATGCTAAGTGAAATGAGCTGGTCAGAGTAAGATAAATACTAAATGATCTTACTCGTATGTGGAGGCTAATGAACAAAATTAACTGATGAACAAAGAGGCATAGATACACAGAAGAGACTGATAGATCTCAGAGGTGAAGGCCATGAAGGGGACTGAAAGAGATTAGCCAGAGATCATGTCTGCATGTATGTATAGTCCATGGACACAGACAACAGTGTGAGGAAGCACCGGAGGGGTGGGCAGGAGCCGGCTGGAGGGTTGCAAAAGGGGAAAATATGGGGCACATCTGTAGTAGTGTCAACAACAATACAAAACACTTCACTGTTTAATACTTTAAAATGTTTTATTTTTCTACTCAGGAAATGACTCAGTGAATTTCTTTATTTTTAAAGCGTATATTTATTTTATTTTTAGAGAGAAGGGAAGGGAGGAAGAAAAGAGAGAGGGAAACAATGTGTGGTTGCCTCTCACGCTCCCAGCTGGGGACTTGGCCTGCAACCCAGGCATGTGGCCTGATTGGGAATTGAACTCATGACCCTTTAGTTTGCAGGCCAGGACTCAATCCACTGAGCTACATCAGCCAGGGCTGAATTTCTTGTCTACCCAGCAATGAACACAGCATTAGCTGGATCATAGATAGATATATGTAAATATTGATAGATATAGATAAATATAATATATAGTCTTCGTCTTATTATTTGACAGTAAGGAGAAGATATTGGATAGAAATAAATGACAGCTTGAGGCCAAAGGGAAAATGTTTGAGATCACCTACCACATTTCCCTCTCCTCTTTCTTTCATTTATTTTGCTATGATCAACACATTTAAAAAATATATATATATATTATAATTTAAAGAACACCAGAGATCAGTAATATTACAGTAGTAAGTATAGTAGATAAATGTTTCATAAACTGTAACTTTCATTCAAAGTGCTGTTGCTCCAACCTAAGTGCCCATCAGTGAATGAATGGATCAGAAAACTATGGTATAGTTACGTGATAGAATACTACACAGCAGATAGAAAAAAGGAGCTCCTACCCTTTGTGATCACATGGATGGATCTGGAGAGCATTATACTAAGTGAAATAAGCCAGGCAGTGAAAGACAAATACCATATGATCTCACCTATAAGTGGAACCTAATCAACAAAACAAACAAGCAAGCGAAATATAACCAGAGACTTTGAAATTAAGAACAAACTGACAGTAACCAGAGGGGAGGTGGGAGTGGATAAGGCGGGAAGGGGAGAAGGGTTGTCAGGAACAACAATAAATGACACATGGACAAAACCAAGGGTGGTTGGGATTGGGGAGGGAGGTGGGGGTGGCTGGGGAGGGAGGTGGGGGTGGCTGGGGTAGGGGGGAGTGGTGGGGAGAGAATGCAAACAATTGTAATTGAACAGCAATAAAAAATTAAAGGAATAAATAAAATGCTGCTTCTCCTCACAGCGTAAAAGTTTTAGTGGTTGCTGCTGCTGTTTTTTGTTCACTTATGACAGCTGCAATATGACAGTCGCCAGTGCCCAAAGGACAACCATTTGTGGTGCCCTCCTGCTTACTAAGGTTTTACTCCACAAAAGAAACAGAAGATAAAGTTCTGATCCACTTCTGTCATTCTTTGTCATCAGCTGCTTATTCTCCTTCCAAGACTGCACCATAACAGGTTCTCCCAATCATGCGTGTATGCGAACATTTTCAAATATTACAATTTTGAGTAGGTTGTCCACTTGATGAGTTTCACTGTCTGAGGGGGAAGCCCTAGTGAATTCTATCTAACCAGTCTCTATGTTTCATCTACACAACCCCAGGAAAGAAGAAAGGAATTCAAAAGCCGTATGAAAAAAGAAAGCTAAGATCAGTGGATCTCAGCTGGAAACCTAGCAGGGTGCATTGCACTCTGGCATTCATCACGTGAAGGCCAGTTCAATTTCAAAATTTTCCAATGTGCTAGCAATTGAGAAGCTGGAGTTCTGAGTAAGATCAAGGTACAGAAAACGAAATAAGCCCTCTCTGTTTAATAGTTTCTGTAATAAAGGCGCTTATTGTTTAAAAAATATGATGTCTACATTACGCTTATCATTTGAAAGATGTAATTGAAAATTACCTAATGACTAGCTGCATGATCAAAGGTGAATTTCTTAGATTATTCTTGATGCAATTATTTCATTAAGATAAAAGCATGTTAATTCATGTCTACTAGCACTGTTTGAATTAAGCTACTAATAAAGAACTAAGTATAGCTCTTGACATCCAGGAGGTCCTCAATAAATCCTAATGTTGTAGCTAATATTATTATTGCTGTACAAAATACTCTTGTTAACTTTACCATGAGAAAGGATCACGATGTAAATTGAAGCCCAGATGGATCTGACTTAACCTACCCCATTTAAAAAAATTTACTCCTGGCTGTTTCCTAAACTGCTGGATTGGAATATGAAGGACAGCAATTTAATGCATGAACCCTAGGAACTGCCCCAGCAAACTGGGGGTCACATAAAAAAGGCCAAGTTTGTACAGTGCAGAAAGTGTAGGTGAGTGAAGGCATAGTGACTAATGAGAATCAAAACCTCCTGCACCTTGACTAAAAATGAATTATTAGTCCTTTAACGAATGGAGAAAATACACAACGTGTTCTTAGTGAAATTCTGTGCACTAAAGGAATGCAGCTTTTGCACGAATCTAAAAAGTTTTTTGTTGATTATTTTTCCCATTGTCTGCATGGATTACCCTGTCCTTTTTAAATACTACACATTATGTAAGATTTAAGCAAGGTATGCTTCCAAGAGTGAATTGATGAGAAAATTCTCCCTCCTTACCTGTGAGCAAATGTTGAGCATAAAGAAGCATGGTGCATAGGGCAAGTATGCTAGGAAAGAATGTTGCTCACTAGGAAAAGGACATTTTTTCCTAATGTAGATCTGCATACTAGAGAACCCCTTGTGTGCACCAAAAAAGAAAGGAAATAAAAATAATTGCACACCAGAGCCACCCTCCACTACACTGTAAAAATACTGACATAAGAGCTTCTTGGTAAAGTAAATTCTTGACTTATTTCTGATATCCAATTTCATTCATATTCAAAGAAACTCTCACCCAGTCAGGAGGTATGTATCTTGTCTAATCTTATAGGTGTGAATAAGTTTCCATAATGTTTTGACAATGCTTCCAGAATTTAAGCAATATCTAAAATCTAGGATCCTATTCACTGTGACCCAATTAGTTGCTAATATTGAAATATCTTTTTAACTTTTCTCACATGCTTAGAAATCATTGTGATATAAGTGTATATGATTCTCACTGAATTCATCTAAGCATTTCAATTACTACATATCTTTGCAAGGATTCAGAAATCTGCTCAGAAACCTGAAATATTGTGACTACTATAAAAGGTCTCATAGAGAGAGACCATTATGAAAGTGGTTGCACTTACTCCCCTCAATCTTCTCACCCTATCTAGGAAAAATAGCTTGACTCTAAGCAATCTGTTATCAAATGGGCTCTCATTAGTTATTGATGGACCAAGGGAATTTAACTAAAGTGATATTTATTGCAAAAAGACACAAGGCCAACCCTGACATAATCATGATGTGTGCCTGCAAGTCATGAGAAAGATGGCCATCATTAATACTGCAATGCAGTGCCTCAACTTGGCAGGAGCACCAGTTGTATAACAGGAAGCAGGGGAGAACTGTGGGCTTTGGAGTGAAGAACTGGCTACGTCCTTTGTGGACTGGCCCACAGGGCGGCAGGACAGACAGCACAACCTTGGGGAGCTTCTTTCCCACAGTTAGGATTTTCAGCTGTCATACACAGCCTCTGAGGGCCAAGACTGTGCATGCTTATGCAAGGCTAAAGACACAGCCGATGTCATCAGCTCTCTTTGCAATTTCCTGAGTATGGCAAGCTCTGTGGTTTAGAAAACGCGGTAAGGTCAATGGGGTTTTTGATGTAAGTTAACGTCTCTGTCTCACCAAAGAGAGCATCCAAGCAAGCTGAAGTGTGACCCATGCACCCACACACTTACAGATATATTTCTCTCAAAGCATATGTCATGTTTAATTGATCTCTGTTCTTCTCTAACAACAGAGATTTCACGCTGAGAACTGGCCTCGTGGCTATATGCCCAATCCCACACTTAGAGGTTGACGCCCAATAGCTTTTCAGTGCAGGTTTGTACAGTAAATGGCTTTTTTCTTTAACTCTAAGGGAATCATAACATCTCTCTTGCAGACAAGGAAATTAAACCTCTTTTTAAAAAATGTTTTTCTTTTTAGTATCTCTAATACCTCTTCTAATAAATTGCAACTATTCATAAAATAAAACTTTCCAATATCAGTAGTACAGTAAAATATATATGAAGATATTTCTAAACATATAAGTGAACATGTAAAATGCACTCCAAGTGTCTTTTCCTAGCCAAAGATAACTAAATTATTTGAAACTCCCACATACCTTCCAACAAAATGAAGTCATATTATTCATAACTAGTTTAAAGAAAAAAATGTTAAACTTTCTGCTAAAGTCCCCACATAATAAAAACAAATTAAAAGTAATCTATATCAGTGCTTTTCATTAGAAATATGTGAGCTACAGATACAAAATACATATGTAATTTAACATTTTCTAGAATGAACATTAATAAAAAGTAAAAATAGCTTAAATTAACTTTAGTAATACATGATAATCAACATGAAAATTAAGTAATAATATATTTTTGTACAAAGCCTTTATGAAATTGTGATTGAAACTCTGGAAGCACATACCCAAAGTTTTATAAGCAAACTGAAAAATTTTCCAATAACTGAATCAACCATCAAAAAATCATTTCCCTTAATATTCACATCCACCCATATTGACAAATTGCCTTACCTTGTAAAAAATGATTGATTTGACTTTAAAGCAAAAATATAACTGTTTTAAAATAGTATCTGCCCAATGTAAATAAATTCAAAACCACTTGTGTCAACACAATTAACAATAAATTAAGAGTTGTGACTACATTGTAAAGTATCTTTATATCAATATCTTCTGCATGTTCACTATTTCTTTTTGAAGCCAATTTATGTAATTCTGTCAATTAATTGTACATTAACATCTTCTGTATATTGAATCAATGTGTGAAAATTATTATCACTGATACTTATTAAAAAAAGAGTAAATTTCAATACAAAATTCTGCATCTGTCTAGCTAAGTTTGCAGGATAAGCTTTATTTGGACCTTTAGTATTAGCTCATTCATATGAGAAAATAAGTCATACTGCTATTCTTTACCTGTCATAATTGTACATTTAGCAAACATTGCTTTTCTTTCAAGAAAGTCTTACACAGTATAATAAGTCTTTTGTAAACCTCTTTAATGACTCACCAATGAGCATTTTTAAAGAACACAAGATGATTAAACCCATTGTATTCTTTTTTAAAAAGATTTTTATTGTTGTTCAATTACAGTTGTCCCCATCTTCCCCCATTACTCATTGTTTTCTATTCATTTCAATAGAGGCATAAATTGGCAATGAGTTATAACATTTCCACTTATATACTAAACAATTCAAAAGCACCAACTACCAACTACTTTTCATAATCATCTTTACAAAGCTTGTCCAAACACTGTCAGTGTGTATCACACAGGGGAACGAAGTCATAGGGAGACATCCTTTGTTTTAAATTTCCATTAAATCTGGGATCTTGACCTAGCAAGCATAACTAGAGCACTTTGTCATTATAATTTTTTTCATAACTAGTTAATATCTTTCTTTGGTGGATGTAAAATATTCAAATATATCCATGTCTTGACTTCACATTTTTTGAATTTTTTAGTTGTAAGTTGACAACTATTTTTTTTGTTTTGTGAACTAGGAGTGTTTGTTTTGTCATTGTTCTTGAGACAGAATATACTTAAGTATTAATTGGGCAATGTTTCTTATACTGCAAAAATCACCTACAACTAAAAGTGCTTGCATTTAAAAAATTTTTTAGTTAACTGATGTTTGGTTAACTGATATTTGTAACTGATTAGCACAAATATTTTGCACTATCCATATAATTATTTGATGGCTTAATTAAAATACTTTTTAAAGCTATTTTTAGTCTTCATAATTTTCAAATACAAGCACCATAATTATAATAAATGTATGTACCATGTATAATGTATAAGTGCATATATAGTTTTATCACATCTCCATCTAAAATGATTTGCCTTTTTATGTAAGAATCTAAACTATTTTCTAGTATCCAAAGTTATGAGCTCAGGTAATGTTTAAAAAATTATAAAAATTTCTTGAACATTTAATTGTTTTCACGTAAAGAAATATGTTGATTTTTTAACCATTGAAAAAGCACTTATGAAAATTATGACTTTGCTAATATGTCTATAAATGCTATCAACTTTATTATTTTTTAAATTTGTTTTCTAATCTGCTATAGAAAATTGAAATTGTCACTTCTTATAAAGTTTTCAATACAGGCTCTTCTAGTGTCTTGTTTTAGTGACTGCTCCAGGAACTGTCTCAGCTCATGCATCTCCATTTGACTCCATATTGGTAGAATGCATTTTTAGGTGTTAAAATGTGCCCAACTTATTTTTTCAAAGTAGAAAAAAATGACCGAATTGAAAATAGCTGCCTGAATATAATTTCCAATTAAGATTTACAAAAACATCAAGTGTCCTGCTTTCTTCATGAAATATTCAGATACACATATTACAATGCTATCAAATTTTCATAAAATTATGTATACTAAATCAGCCTTAAGACACTGTTAGTTTTTTTTTGTATAATACTAGAAATTACTCACACACTTGGCTTTACAGTACAATAGCTTACGTGATGTGACAGTTAAAGGAAAATGTAATCCAATCTAAAAATTTCTTTTAGAAGTTTTAAAATTTAGGCTTTTATATTCAGATCAATGATTGGTTTTCAGCTCATTTTTGATTGTGAAGTGATGTAAGTAAAGGTCAGGGTTAAGAAGTTTTTTTATACGAATATTCAAATGTTCAACCACCATTTAAAATATACTTTTGGCATTAAATTACTTTGGCAACTTCATATAAAAATTGCCTCTATATATATATGAGTTGCTTCCTGGACTTTATTGTATAATCTATTTTTGTATCTTCATTGAAATATCATACTATCTTGATTACAGTAGCTTTATATTGTCTTGAAATCTGTAAGTTGTCCAAACTTGTTTTCCCAAAACAAAAGAGTTTTTTTGATATTCATTTTATTTCCGTGTTGGGGACTGCTCTGTGTGGTTTCTGAGACTGTAGCCCAGTGAGAGCAAGACCTGAAAGGGGCTGGCAAGTCTCCCTGGAAAACCAGGTAAAAATGCAGGTGGCAGGTGTGACTGAACTCTAATACCAAGGGTTCCTATGGGAACCAGGCCTGAGAAATACATTGTATCCTTTGAAGCTTGCTCTGCTTTTTTTTGTATAGCCCTGGTGATATAAACTGGATGTTCAAGTTCAAGGCATGAGGAATAAACTCCTTATCTCATGAAATACACGGTAAAGAGCCTGTGGTGTCAGCTCAACTAACAGACCCTGACTTATGACATCTCTTGTGTTCCTTCAATTGTTGTCTACAGATAATACCTGTTTTTGTATGACTATAGCCTTTTTGACATTGATACATGTGTGCTGCATACACCTACACATACCATTCCCAATAAAAGCCATTTGGGAGAAAGGCCCAGGGAGTTCTCCACTAGAGGGAATTGCCACCCGCCTTCCCACCGGAGCAGCAAGATTGTGTCTGGGACGGCTTATTTACCATCCACGGCAGAAGGGAGGGTTCTGAAGGCTGGAGTTCCTCCTACATTTCCACACATGTTTAGAATAAACATGACATTGTTTATTCTAAAGTGTTTAAAAAATAAACAGTCACTCATTTATCATAGCTTTAGTTAACCACCTTGTTTTTTTATTGCTTAAAAATATTTACTGTTGAGAAAAAATTTTAAGCAAACACGTCTGGCTTGTGAAACGCCAGAGCTGTCACTGGTGTGGATCTGGAGCCTTGAAACATCCTTTTCGGCAGTAATGTGACCTATGTGCAAACTGTTTTTCAAAGCATTTGCCTCAATGTAATGCCATTTGTCTATTACTACAAAGTTTATTTCTTAATGCAAGCAAGCCTATTACTGTGCTAGGACACCCAAGTTAATACAAATGATTCTTAGACACTTTAGTAGGAAGAAAAAATATATAAGAAAGTAACATTTTCAAAGGTGCAGAAGTGAGTAAACAGCATTTAGAATAAAGAGTAGAAAAGATTCCATTAAGTTATCAAAAAATAACACCACAATGGCTCTGAGGACCCTTGAAAGTTCATAGGTGACTAACATAATCAATGGAAACAAAACCTTTTGATTATCACTAACTTCTTTCTTATTTTGAGGCTTATGTAGTTTGATAACTATGTTTTTACTATAGATTTTCATTTAGCCAACTCAGATAATGATTTTTGATTCTATGTCCAATTTTAAAGTTAAGGTGGGAAATTGCTCCATGGAATCCATCCTCAATGTGCTGATGGGTCACCCTAATTCCAGCCTTCTGAAGTCGAGTGACATACATGATTCCATCATCTCTTAAGACGTCATATTGGCAGGTGATGACATAGGTCACAGGCAAACTATGTAACTTATTGTCATCAGCCAACAAGGGAGCTGCCCTCACATCTAGAAACCCTGGGAACTTTTTAAACACCTCAGAAGTACCATGAGTTGGACTGTTATAAACATGTCCTTTCTTAAAGGTCTCTGGGAGCAGAGAACTCCAATTAACAAATTTGAAGAGATGGATTGATTCCACGGGGGCATGTTGATTGGAGAGCATGGCTTTTTCAAGTGATCTGTCTGTGGTAAAGTATTCACTCCAAAACCTGACCATGAGTGCTCTGGACAGAGTTGGAAGCAGCGAGTTCTCCCTATAGGATGGTAAATCCATATCAAGAGTCTGAAGGGCCGGATAAATTAAGGACTGGGTCTTGAGTTTGATCTTGACATCTGGGTCATCTATGAGCTACGAAATAATTTAAAGTCAGTTGTTGAAATAATTTTCATTTATAGTATATACTTTCATTTATGAGGTTGATATGAGATAAATTCAAAGTTTCAAAAAGATAATCAGAAACAATAAAAATATATCTCAAAGCACTTTCCAGTTTTCAATATTATATGTAAGACTCAGTGTTACACTTCAATACTGTAAAGGTAAACAAGTGATCTGCACTACTTTCCTCATGTATATATATGGAAAACGGACCATGCGATGAAATCCTGACATTTGTAACTAAACTTTGATTTTTCTCCTCTGTCTTTTTAGAGAATTAAAATTCTATCAGTCCTTTCAAAGAATTAACTTTGTGTTTCTGTTCATACCTATGCTAAGCTTGTTTTGAACGTGAGATTTCTGTTCTTGTCATTATTCTCTTCCCTCTTTTCTGTTTTATTTTTTTAATCTTGAGTCAGATGTTTATTTCAGTCTCTCTTCTTATCTCATATATGTTTTGGAGAAAATGCAATTTCTTTTAAATATAGAGAACATAAAATATATGCATTTTTAAGAGTGACTGATAGGTCCTTAGTGTATTTTTTAAAATGTCCATACAAAGAACATATTATTTGTCTTTTTCTCATTGATTTCCCACCATATTACATTTAGTAAGAGTCCAAATGTAGTACAACTTAAATTCTAAATTTGTGGCCCACTACTTGGTCAAGTTTTAAAAATGATGATGTGTATTTGCTATTTCCCTGTTACACTGAGTGAAATATATTGATTGTTATTCCAGTCATCTATCTAATTATTTTTGCCTACTTGTTCTCTTACTTAACTAAAAGAAGTATTCTTAAACTTCTTGATATGGTCATAAACTTGTGTTTTCTCCTGTAGTTTTGTTAATCTTTTCTTCATGTATTAATACCATGTAATTAAATCCATACATATTTAGAGTTGTTGTGCTTTCTTAGTTATTTAAACCTTATCTGTAATAATGTGATCTTAATCTATCAGTTCTTTCAGATGTTATTACAAAGCACATATATTTTCCATGAATTACTTTTAAATAATCTGCTTACTTATTTTTTTTAATTTGACAATCTCGGCCCTATTGTTAGCTCATTTAGAATCCAAATATTTAATTACTGAAATAATTGGTGATCTACTGCCTTATTTTCTCCATCCTCTTTCATTTATTTTTTTCTATTTTTGCCTTCTTTCAAATTGGTTAAGATTTTAATTATTCTATTTTCTCCTTTAGTAGTTTATGTTATGCTTTGTTTATATTCCTTAATTGATTGCCATAAAATGTGTACTCTTTTTTGAAAAATTTTATTTAGTTATTTTTCAAGTACAGTTTTCTGTCTATTTCTCCTATCCCAGCCCACCCTGCCCCATGCTCCCCACCTCCCTCCCATTTCCACCCCCCTTAGTTCTCATCCCTGTGTCCTTCACACTTGTTCCTCCAGATCCCTCCCCTTTTTTCCCCTTAAATTCCCTCCCCTCTCCCCTCTGGTCACTGTCCCCTTGTTCTCTATTTCAGTGTCTTTGTTTTTATTCTGCTTGCTTGTCTGTTTTGTTGTTTAGCTTCCTGTTAAAGGTGAGATCATATGGTATTTGTCTTTCAACACCTGGCCTATTTCACTCAGCACAATGCTTTCCAGTTCCATCCATGTTGTTGCAAAGGGTAGTAGCTCCTTCTTTCTCTCTGCTGCATAGAATTCCATTGTGTATATGTACCACAATTTTTGGATCCATTCATTTACCGATGGGCACCTAGGTTGCTTCCAACTCTTGGCTATTGTCAATTGTGCTGCTATGAACATCGGGGTGCTTAGGTTCTTTTGAATTTGTGTTTTAGGGTTCTTAGGATATAATCCTAGCAGTGGAATTGCTGGGTCAAAAGGCAGGTCGATTTTTATTTTTCTGAGAAAATTCCATACTGTTTTCCATAATGGTTGTACCAGTCTGCACTCCCACCAACAGTGAACTAAGGACCCCTTTTCCCCACAACCTCTCCAACATTTGTTGTTCGTTGCTTTATTTATGATCGCCATCCTGACTGGTATAAAGTGGTATCTCATTGTGGTTTTTTAATTTGCATCTCTCTGATAGCTAACCATATTGAGCATCTCTTCATGTGTCTCTGGATCTTCTGTATGTCCTCCTTGGGGAAGTGTCTGTTCAAGTCCTTTTCCCACTTTTTAATTGGGTTAGTTGTCTTCTTAGAGTGGAGGCATGTAAGTTCTTTGTATATTTTGGAGATTAAACCTTTGTCTGAGATATCATTGGCAAATATGTTTTCCCATACAGTTGGTTGTCTTTTTAATTTAATACTGTTTTCTTTAGCTGTACAGAGGCTTTTTGTTTTGATGAAATCCCATTTGTTTATTCTTTCCTTTATGTCCCTTGGTCTAGCGGACATATCAGTAAAAATGTTGCTTCATGAAATATCTGAGATTTTCCTGCCAATGTTCTCCTCTAGGACTTTAATGGTGTCCGGGCTTATATTTAAGTCTTTTATCCACCTTGAATTTATTTTGGTGTATGGTATAAGTCTGTGCTCAAGTTTCAATTTTTTGTACATAGCTGTCCAGTTCTTCCAATATCATTTGTTGAAGAGGCTATCTTTAGTCCATTTTATGTTACTGTCCCCTTTGTTGAATATTAATTGACAAAATGTGTACTCTTAACATCTCTAAGACTAATGAACTTATTTAAACATAATTCTAAATCTTTATTTCTTATTAGATTTAAAAAAACCTTATAAGACTTGAAATTTATTCTCTTCTCTCTCTTGAACTTATAGTTTGATTTTTTCATATTTTAATTCTATATATCTCATTATTTTAAATTATTCAAGTTTATTAGACTTACCCACATCTTACCACATTCTTGCTATTAGCTTCTTTTTGAAGCTTAAACTTTTATCTGCATTCTCATTGCATCTAAAACACTTCACTTCAAGCATCCTTAGTGTGTTCCATTAATAGCGAGCCCTTTTAGTTTTAACCAAATAAGTCTATTTCTCTTTTATTTTTAAGTAAAAATTTTGTGGGGCACAGAATTAGGTTAAGTCATTTTGTGCTGCACTTTTATGCTACCCTTCCGCTGACCTTAGATTAACATTTTTGATATTGAGAAGTAGGCTGCCATTATGGCTTGTACTTCTGTGAAGTGACTTTGTTTCCTCTGTTTTAAAATTGTTTGGTTTCTTTTTGTTTCATTTTGTTTTGCTGGCTTCCTCACTTTTCCTCGTGTCTATATGTAGATTCCTTTCTAGTTATTGATTTAATTTTAAGCTTTTCAAAAATTATTCTTAGGATTCAGGTAGCTTCTTTTACCTGTAGCTTGTTATCACTAATCAGTTTTACAAAATGCTGTACTACTTTGTTTTTAAACATTCTTTTATCTCATTCTCTCTTCTCTACTTCTTGTATGACAACAAGAATTCTATTGGATTTGCAGACTGTATCTGCTATATTTCTTCTCTTTTGTATTTGTTAACTTTTTGGCTCCCTATACATCATTTTGCATAGTTATATATGAATTGGATATGACTCATCTTCCAGTTTATAAATTATCTGCCGCTGTGTAAAAGTCAGTTAAGCAATTCAAAAAGGTTTTGATATTGACAATTTTATTTTTGAGTTTTAGAACTTTAGTTTTTTTCAAGACTCCACTTTTCTGCTGAAATTTGCAATCCCAGTTGTGAATGGATTGAAGAAAGTAGGGTAGTTGTTTAATATTCTGTGCCCAATAACTGTAGCATTTGAATACGGCCAAGTGGCTTTCTGTTGTGTGTTGATTCTGCTTGCTTTCCTTCATTGCTTTTTGTTTACTTGTTTTCCTGGATATGTTTTATTCTGTGCTAGATACTGAATTTCTAAAAATATTTGTAGGAACAATTTAAAGTCAATGATGGTACTGTATTTCTCCAGGGAGGCTTTTTGTAGGATTCTGTCAAGCACAGCTGAGTATCAGTCACTCGCAGCATTCTTATTTAAAGTGAAGGCCTGAGATCTCCCACCATCCAAGTGATGAGAAGCAGGACTCTAAATGCACAAGGTTGTGTAACAATGAGGTGTGTTTTATATCACTAAATCATACACCTCATGGTCATGACAGAAAATTTTATGTTGTGTGTATCTTAGCACAAAACTTTAGAAGTACAGTAAGAGCCACAATAAAACTTTATATGCATTACCTTCCAATTAAAAAACACATGGGACGTTTGTATTACATCAGGTTCCCCTTGGCCCTGAGAGCACCTCTATTAAGGGCCTCACTTAACCTGAAGTTAAGTGAGTTCAGGATTGTCCTCATATTTGACTTCAACTCTAGCCCTGAAAGACTTCCAAAACTTATCTTGGTTGTAAACTTTTTTTCTTTTCTTCTTCTTTTTTTTTTTTTGAGTGCCATAAGCCTTTAGGGTAAAGAGGACATTGAGTACTGGGTATTTTTTGCAGGTTTTTTCTTTATCTTTTAAAAAAACTTTTGGCCTAGAAATTTCTCATATCTTATGAACTTTTTGATATATTTCAGATTATTGTATCTTATGCCAATTTTTAATAATTATGGGTCAGAATTAATTTATACACCATGACAGAACTGCATACAACAAAGGGCCAATTATGCAACACAGTCAAAAGAAATTGGTGCTTGAAGTGGCTTGTCCAAGGTCACAGCTGGACCTTACTTTAGCTTCAAAAATCCATGGCTCCTGTTATTTGCAATGCATCGAGGTGCCTCACAGAAAGACAATGAGTAGCAATATAGAACTCAACTTCTGGGAATAACAAATACATGTTCTGTAGTATACTAAGAAAAATCACAGGATTTTTATCTTTCCTTCACCTGGAAATAGTGAGAAGTTTATCCTAAAAATATCAATAGTCAAACTTTATATACTTTAAAGTGTGTATGAAAATGAATAATAAAAACATTGTCTGTTTTATTGCACAATAAATTTATGTGAACTATTTATGATTATGATTAGTTATTAAATTATGATGATTTATATGCAAACATATTAGAATTTTTCTTATAGGAATATTGTTTCTAAGCTATCAGTGCCAAGTTTATTTCTTAGGTTAGATAAACCAGTATCAAAATAATTTTATTCATAATCTATAGACTAATTACATAGCACTGAAAATCAATAGTTAATAGGTGTCCAGTTTTAGCAAAATGTCACAGAAATAGTGTAGTAATTGATATTTGAAAATAATAGTTTCTTTTTAAGTAAATAATATTTATGAACCTGATAACATTTTTGTCAATAGGTAATTGTATTATTCCGATAACAAGTCTTAATGCAAGTTTTAGCACACTCTATTGAAGACTACTGAAATCATCTGATTCTTTAGTTACGGTGGTTGGTGCCATTGCTTATACAAATTGCTCACACAAGTATATGCCCTAGTATAACAAAACACTATGTTACTTACCTGACCATATCCATTATGTTTAAACCAACAATATATAAGGAGGATTTAATCATTTTATTTAAAAAATCCAGCAAGAGGTAGAAATAGAAAGCACAAGGTATATTAATTTTCTCTGATATGATCTCTATGTAACTCTAATATAGCAATATATTTACACTGATATTTTAATATTTGAAATATTAAATAATAAATACATTTATGTGTAGGATATTTTATATAATGAGACAAATTTGAGCAGCATACCTGCTGAGTTACTGCTGCAGCCAAATTCCCTCCAGCACTGTCTCCAGAAATTCCAATTCTTTTAGGATCTACACCATATTTTTCAAGAACATCCTGGTGTAAGAACCACTTTAGTGAATTATATACATCTTCAAATTGATCGGGAAAATGATATTTAGGTGCTAATCTGTAACTGTGGGCAGGAAAACATGTTCGTTAAGTCAATATTTTTAATGAAAATATGCATTCATGCTGTATGTAACACTAAAATCAAAAGTAAATTTTTAAGTAAAAATATTTAAACATATTTTGAATCCTAATGAATACAAAGACAGAATTATTTTTAAAGACAATGCTTGATATAAAAATTTTTACAAATATTATCTTTACACTAGTAAAGGCTTGAATGAAAAACTTGGAGTAGACTTCAGAAAAAAAATCACAAGTAATAATTAAGTAAACTTCTCCCAGAATGTTATTCTTTATAATCATTACTCTTTCCTTACATTTATTTTTATTTATCTGTAATCAATAAATATCAAAGAAATCTTAAAAATTAGTATATTCCAACATAATTTATTGATCAAGTTGGAAAGCAGTCACTCCTATGTTTTTTCATTTTCTATTATTGATTATTGATCTAGAATGACTTTTAGAATAGATTTTGCCTATATTTCCATGTTATTTAGTGACTAATTGCTTTTAAAGAAGGGTCATACCATGAAATATGCCACACTGATTGCTTTAAATGTATTTTAACACCCAATTCTTGAAACAACTCTTTGATACAAAAATTATAGAAATAGAAATTAAAGATATAGATAGGTATCTATATATCTATAGATATAGTTATAGATATAGAAAATTATATGTTTAACAGTCTACATATGAGAAAATGGAGCTACAAAGAGATTTAACTGGCACACAGTCACTCAATTAATTCAAAAACAAAACTTTGGGCCCGATTCTCTCACTCGGAAGTCCTTCTTATTCACTCTGTTAATTAAAAATGGGCTAGAAATCCAGCAAAGATCCTTTGTCCATGAAACTCAATAGTTTCCTGTGTTACAACAATTTCTTGACTACCTGTTTTTGATCCCCACTTGACCCAACTATACAACTCTTTTCTCTCTGTCTCTTCCCTGGCCATGGTCAAGCTCATGTTCTCAATTCTCACCACCTCACTTTCATTTGAAATAAACCTGGAGTAACCAAGAAATTCACCAGGACAGCTCACTACATAAAGGGCCTGGCCAAACAAAACAAACCAATAGTGCACTTACTTGGTTGAAACGACAACAGCATCAAGTCTATTAACTGTTTCTCTTGAGAGCAAGTCATAGACAACCCAAGCTGAAATAAAGAGAATGAAATCAGAGACTGACAAGTAAACTGATGGATATTTCTTTCCACAAATGGCCTACTGCTGCACCTTTTTCGTCATTAAAATATTCTGGGAATGCCCTGACCAGTGTGGCTCAGTTGGTTGGGGGTCATCATGCAAAACAAAAGGAGGCTGGTTCAGTTCCTGGTCAGGGCACAGTCCTGTAGTGCAGGCCAGGTCCCCAGTTGGGGAGCATGGGAGAGGCAAGAGACCGGCATTTCTCTTCCTCTCTTTCTCCCTCCCTTACTCTCTTTCTAAAAATAAATAAATAAAATCTTTAAAAATTGTTCTGGGAAAATATTTCTAATATTTCATCATAGCTATCAAAAATGAAGTCTTTTGCTCAGCAGTCCTTTACAAGTGTGTGGTCAATTTTCTTGTCCTTCCCCACATTTCACACTGTATAATTTAAGCCAGTCTCTCTCTTCAGGATTAGTCTGTGCTCCCTTTAATCGGCAGATGTTTGGTATTGAAAGAAAAAACGTAAACATACCTCCCTGACTTTGAGGGAGTCACAGTCTCCTGGAGACAGGAGCAGGGAGGGGAGGTATAGAAATGAAAAGCAATAATGTAATATAGTAGCTGCCTTAATGGAGAGCTAGAGAAAATACCCAATGAAATAGTGTTAGACTTCACAAAAACTGCCAGAGGAAGTTAAGGAAGAGTAAAATGGAAATAGGGAAAGCTGACACCTGATTCATGTATTCATATTTTCTAGGCAGACAAGAAGGTCTGTGTTTTCTGGGGTGTTTTTGGCCAGATGTATGGGGTGGGGATGGGTCACACATGTTTGCTATTGTGCTTGGAAACGTACCCCATTTTGCACATAAGAACACTTTAAGAAAATAAAATAGAATTGGCCAATAACAAGAGGAGGGAGAGATCATAAAATACTACCAGTAGATTACTAGGGTGAAAAGTTGTCTCAAAAGGCAGGTCCTATGGGCCATGGAAAGAGGAGAAGATATTTTGTTGTGGTGTTTCTAAAGTTGAGTGCTGACTATTCTTAAAATGTAAATACACACTAAGTTTTAAACTTTTATTTAACATTTACTGTATGAAATCATGGTTACATTTTAGATTAAAGCACATATTTTGATGCTCCTATTTAATGTTAAAAGAGAAAACATTGCATAAATACTATTTTGTTTCAGAGTTTATTCTTACTTAGCTCCTTTTCCTTGGTGAACATACTCCCTCTCTTCAGGTATACCTTGATGGAAAGACTTTTTAACTGAACTGCTTTGGGAAGTAGGAATGCACAGAAAATAATTGAGACATGGCATAGTCAGATTTTGTCTGAAAAATATCACTTCATTGCCAGCTGATGATTTTACTGCCTGAATTTATAGAAAATGTTTGGATTATACACTTTACTGTTCCAATTTACATTTCAAATCTACATCAATACTCGTTCATACCCCTTTCTCCTGAAAATATGGAAAGAAAACAGCATAGAAAGTTATGTTCCTCCTGGTGTGAGTTGTCACTACTTCGCCATTGTACAGAGTCCAATTTCCTCCCACAGCCTGTAGGTCAGGCAAACTTCTTCCCACTCTCTAGCTCCCCCTCCCCAAACTTCTTCAACATACTTCTATTAACTGCCTTACCTTTGGCTTGTAACCATGTTCATTTCCTTCCATATATAATATAAAATATGTGTTTATACATAAGGAAAATATACATATGTAATAAAAAGATATATATTAGATACATTTGTAGAAATATGGAAAACAAATTGAAATGTACATATATTTTACTTAAAAAGTACAGTGTACTTAATCAACTCTGTGCTGCTTTTTAACCCAAACCTTGTCTTTCCTTTCTGTCTAAGTGTGTTGAGAGACTGGAGTCGCCATCCGTTACCTCATTTTTCATCCATTACTCAACTCCATTTTGCTCTTCATTACAATAGTCCATCACTTTGGCAATTCACAATTTTAATAGTAAATTGCTGCATTCATGAAATGGTTTTTCCTCTTATCTGAGATTTGCTATAGCTTTCAGTATTCCTTCTTCTCAGAAAGAAATTTAAAATAATTTTGTAAACTAACATAGCTCCAAAGAAATAAATTTCAGATGGCTGAAGTGCTCCATTATCTGTGATAATGTTTACCAGATACATCACAGTAAATATCTTAATAAAAGGCATGCTTCATTATAAGCAAAAGTCTGTAACAAGGGCCACATACCAGCACTCCCTAAACACCAACCGCCACCGTGAATATAAAATACGCCCCTTCTCAGTGCCTGTGACTTTTGGTTTGGAATATAGACACGGACGGGAACATTGCTGAAAGTTGTCTCCATCACAGTGACATTTTCATCAGATGTGGGTGGGACTTCTCGAAAACTCATGCAGAACATTAAAGTCTCCATGAAATGGTTGATTCCCAATAGCTCAGCAAACAGAGCCTAAAAGCAGAGAAGAAAAACAAATACCAGGTTACAAGCAGCAAATGCCAATGCTGTTTATAAGCATAGAAGTATGCATCCATGCTCCCCATGGCCCCATGTCATTTGTCACAGGTAAATCGGAATGACACGGAAACATCAAGATTCAGAATTTAAAATTTCTACAGCTTTTAACATAGAGTAGCTGTCAAAACTTTTCCCACAAAAGTAATTTATGCCAATTTAGTGGGCCTTCTGGCTTTAAATTAAGAACAAGTACAAGTCCTTTCTTCAAAATGCAAATCACTGGACTCTAGTATTTTATTTCCAAAGAATTAAAGAATGTTTAGGTTTAAATATTTTTTAAATGTTAGAGAAAGGTACTATGTTATAAAAATTAAGGACAGGGATTTGGTTATGAAAACAGAAATTGTAATATGTAAGAAAATACTAAGTATGAATTTTTAACATGCATTTATAATTTCAAAAGTCTTTAAATTCTACGAGGAAGAATAATAAACATAAAACAAAAGACTAAAAAGTCACCAGTGTGCTAAAACCATTGCCCAATGTCCCTGCATTCTGAATTGAATAATCGCGGTTTTAAAATTTCTTTGACCATGTTCCCTTTGGTAAAGTGTGCTGAAGTAGACCAGCAGCTTAATGGACACATCATCTTGTATCAGCTTACTCTCTTTATACTGACTTTAAAGCCAAAATCAATTTTTGATGTAAATTTGAAGGATCAAATGATAAAGAAGGAAAATCTGACGGACTTTGAAATTTATATTCTTCAATGTATCGACAAAATTGTTTCTTGTATCTTAGTCCTACAAAGATCTATCAGTTAAGGAAAAAAATAATTAAATTTCTGTTCATTCGAAGGTGAGAAACCGTGCCACTGACTACATCCAAGTTAGAGCTTTGCATATAGAGTGTGGTTATTTGGCAATTCAGAGACTCAAGTGATCGCTGGGCTTCAAAATATTCATCTTTTGGAGACCAACCAGGGTACCACTGAGAGGCCATAGCAGCAAAGAGAAGGCATGGAAGCTCTAAGCAGGGCTGGGAGAATCAATGGCGAAAATGAAGAAAAAGTAGAAGAGGAGATGATAAAAGTAATATTTAGAAAAATAATGTCAAGCTTGGAAGCTTCAAGCTGTCTCAGCTCGACTCAGGAGCACTTTACAATCTTGTTTAAGGGTAGAAAACACGTTTCACAAGCACATGTAATCCGGAACACAGGTGAGTCTGACAGTGTTATCGGATTGTGGAGTGATTTCTTCCCAAGCCTACGTAGAGCCTTAGGGTCCTTTTCTGATACTGCTGAGCAATCTAACTCTCAGAGTCGGCACCTGCGTTTGATATTCCTGTTTCCAGAGATAGTCTGCATGGCAGGCCAGCTGGCAATTCCATTCAGTGCCTTCCATTTATTTTCATCACTGAATTAATTATTAAAAGTTTGAATTACCATTCTTTACTTTTATGCTCAAATTGATTGATAAAGCACAAAGTAGTACCCGGTGGCATTAAATTCAAGCAAAAAGGTGTCGAGGTTTTTTTCTTTGGTAGGGAAGAAGAATTAGAAAAGATTCAGCTGCTTAATAGATAATCAATTTTATAAAGTTTTGGGAAAGATACCATTATATGGTAGGCTGATGTACTAAGCAAACAAGTTATTATTTTTCTTTAAAAATGGGATTGAAGGTTTTTGGATAAATCTCTGTGTTTTTAATCTGTAGGAGAGCAGGCAGAGAAAGAAAAAAATCAATGAACAAAAAACAGATCAGTTATTTGATTTTTAAAAAATCAAAATTACAGATAAGTTATTTCTTCCAAGAACTAAGAGTCACAGGAAACCCATGAACTATAAATTATGTGCAGTATCAGATGAAGGCAGGCAAAACCTGCAGAATTGCACAGAAAACCATGGTGCTAGGGTAAGAGAAAAGGCAAGAAAGGAAACGATCATAAATATTCATTCAAAGAATGAAAAGGCCTCTGCATGATCAAAGGCTCCAGGAGCAGGACACACGAGAAAGCCTGATTCCAGAGAGAAGTTGCTAAAGAAACTCCCAAACCACCCAGGAAGGTCCAGAGGTAAGGGAGTTAGGAACTTCTAAAGTGGAGTAGAACACCGGCAGACTGTCCCCTGTGCTAACAGCAGTCAGGGATGGACCAGAAGGTTCAGGAAGGCTGGGGAGAATTCAGTAGGTGAGCGTTTTCAAAAGTGTGTGTCTGTGTGTATGTGTCTGTGTGTTTGTGTGTGTGTGCAGTAGCAATAAGAGTCCTTAAGCACGAGAACTGAATGACAAAAAAGTCTTGACCCTACCTCTGTTGCCCAGGACATTCTTAAAATAGTTTGTCCAAGAAAATTAACCTCATTCAAATGGAAATAATACAATAGTTGTATATTTAATATTCATGCCAGGTACTGGTACCTTTAAAATACTGCAGGGCACTATTGCAGTGTATTGGGTACCATACTTGGATATTGCAAGTATATCTAATACTTGGTATTACAGTATATGCTGGGTACTCTAAGAAAAATAGTAAGTCTCCAACAGATGAAGAAAACAAACTGGAAAAAAGTCACTGCAAAGTGAATAAAATATATTACACATTATTGTAAAATAAATTTTAAAATAACATAAGAAGCAATAATATCACAAAGCAAAAATCCACATATTCAAGGAAGATATAGGTAGGTAATTGGAGGTGATTGCTAGTCAAAAGATGAGAAAATTAAAAACTAATGTTGGTAGAACTCAGAAAAAAAGACAAAGTAATTTCAGAAACAAATTCCAAATTAAAAGAAACTCAAAATATTATATATAATTGAAACTACAGAAACAAATGGAAGGAAGGAAAAATGTAGAGAAAGATGAAAAAGTACAGAGAGAAAATGATGCAAAAAAGTGTATGTGTGTATAAATATGTGTATGTAGGTATATATGCATAACTAATAAAAATAATAACAAATAAAAACAATAAAACAAAATTAACATTTTAGACAAAATTTGAACATTTCACCTAAAATGTCATATAATGTGCTTAAGTGTAATATTATTATGTTACAGAATTACATGCTAATGATTTTGTATTAAAAATTGGCATTATTTGGCCCTGGCTGGTATAGCTCAGTGGATTGAGCGCAGGCCGCAAACCATGGGGTTGCCAGTTCGATTCTCAATCAGGGCACATGCCTGGGTTGAGAGGCAGGTCCCTGGTACAGGGAGCGTGAGAGGTAACCACACATTTATAATCCTTTCCCTCTCATTCTCCTTCTCTTCACCTTTCTCTAAAATGAATAAATAAAATCTTAAAAAAATTGGCATTATTTGTGTCAGACCCTGTATATTGCACTTGTTCAGAGCCACTTGAAATGACAAAAGAGAGTTACAACACCTTTTTTTAAAAAAGGCCAGGAAAGAAGCAAAAAGCCAAATGTTTTATTACTCAGGCTAATTGACCTTGAATTATCTTTTTTTTTAACAGGCAATTTGCTGCAGAGGAGATTAAAGAAGATAACCAGTGGCTTGATTGCTGAGCAATTAGCATTATTAGAAAAGAACCACAGGTCTTTGCGGGCCATGGGCAGCTGCCGGGCTACCTCAGCAGTTCTTCTGTCTACTGGAAAGCACACCTATCCCATTTCCATGACCTTTACCCACTGGTAAAGGTTTCCACCTATCTCAGTAAAAATTCATTTTCATGTTTGAATACAAGATTATTGCATAGCATTCTGTCATTAATCACAGTATTGTTCAATCCTGCCATTTTCTGGTGTTCATACTTTAACACACTTTATTCCTGCAATGTTCATGAGATGAAACTCACAGTAAGACCGTTTTTCTCAGCCAGCTCATTTTGTCCTTTAATATTTAAAACCAAAACTCCTTGACTACTCCCTCCATATTCATTCTGTTAGTGGTCTGCGTTAAGCAATAATTAAAACATGAAAAAAGGTTTTAAAACCAGCAACTTAAAGAGCAAAACTACCAAGAGGGTGGAAACCGTGAAAAACATAAAACAGGTATTCTCTCTTGGTTCAACTGTCAAATATTGAGTCAATAAGATTCTATACTTACCAAATTTTGTAGAGTTCTAAACTGTACACTCAGCCAGACTAGTCTCCACGGCTCCTCGATATTGTCCGGGAGAGGCGTGTATACATAGTACGCTCCGAGCACCCCCAGCAGCAGCACAAGAGTCTTTCTTCCCATGGTGCTTCCCTTCTGCCCTGGCTGCTTAGCAGCGCAGCAAATACAATGCAATTTTCAGAGACTGAAATTTTATGCCCAGTGTTTGGCCCTACCATAAAGTGTTATCTAACTTCCTGGACACAGATTCCATTGTTCAGTGTGGCGTTTCATTGGCTGTTCAGAAATAAACAGTGCAAGTGCCAAGGTCTTTGGGAACATAGGGCGTTTATTGATGGCAAGTTTTGTCACTTCCAGCTTTTTTAATGATGTTGCTAGGCAGTCAGTTCATTGCATAATTACTAGGTGCAGAATACTTTAAAAAAAATTTCTAAAATAAAAAAAAGAAACCTTGTATATGCTTCAAATAACAGATCCCAGAGGGAGGAAAAGAAGTGTTTTTAAAGTATTTCCTCAGAGGGAGGAAAACAAGTATTTATAAACAAGTATCTTTAAACTTTTACAAAGTAAAAATGAATATGCTCACATGCATTTTTATAACATTTTACTGTCCTGCTATAATTATATCAGTAAGTAGTACTAATTATGTTAGAATTATACAGTAATCGTGCAGATAGCTAATAGTTCTTGAGCACTTACCCTGTACCCCAGGTGGTGTACTCAAACAGTTAAACAGACTGAGGAAAGTTTATAAAGCTCTACAAGTTCATTCAGTGGTATGGAGTGAGGCCAGTACTGTCCTCCATGAGTACACACTTAGACCTCACTTGTCCCAGTTCTTTGATTAGCCTCAGATTATTGATAAACAATTGGGATTAAGATTCAGTGTAACTAGCCAGCATCATAAAAACCAAGTAACTGTGTTGGAGACATTATGGTCCACTGAACATATATGTACCTCTATGATTTTTAGATCCCTTCTCTGGCACTTAAGTAGAGTTATAGGACTAGTGGTAGCCAAAGGGACCTGATAGAAATTAATATGCCATTTCCAGGTAGAAGTACTTAAAATACAGAAGACCTGAAAACTATCTTTTGCAATGCTAGAGTCACAAAATATATGTAGCTTGGATTAAGGGGCCCAAGGGTTCAGTCGTTCAAACTCCATAGAATTTTCTTGAGATATAAGCAAATATTATGCCAAATTTGAAGTGTTGTGTGACTTAATCTTTACATTTTTTAGGTATATTGTATCATTTAGTCCTCATATCAACAGTGAAATGTAAGAATTAATATTATGAGAGGCTGTCTTATTCCAAAGTCATATCATCACTTATTTCTATAGTTTTCATTTAAAATTCTCTGGCTCTGAGGAAAACTTAAGTTTGTTCTCATTAATGCTAGAAGTGAAATTCGAATTACTTTATTTTTTAAAGGAGCGTGCATTAAAGTTGACTTTTTGTTTAATACCTTTATGGAAGTTAACAAATGGGGACATTTGTTAAACTATACTATGCAATTCAGATATAGAACATGACCACTAGCTCCAAAACGCCTATTTTCTATACCTTTGTGGTCTCATCTTTTCTTAAAACCTGGCAACCAATGATCTATTCTCCATCATGATAGTTTTTGCATGCAACATAAATGAAATCATACAGCATATAACTGGCTTATTATACTAAGCATAACCTCTTTGAGATTTGTCTAAGTGTTGTGTATATTTAACTAGCTTTTTTTAGAAAAAAATTCAAACAAAATAAAATCTAGATTTATATTAAAATCAGTTTAACGTCTTCCCCAAAGTAAATGGCAAAGTTGTTTTTGTAGTAAATACCATGTACAAATGTTTAAACAGTAAAGGCATATAAAACTCCTTATTTGTTCAGCAAGTTCTAGCAAACAAGTTATTTTGACTTTCCATAACTATTGGCTGGTAGTATTAACACAATATGATATTTTTACCTGTGAAATATATCACAAAAGATATCTGTTGTCAAAGTGCTGATTAAACGTGCAATTGCACCATTCTGTCTCCTTTGAATTATTGTGTAAGTTCTTGTTAAGGCCATTTCTGTTATTTGTACATAATGTGTTTGTTCTTGACTCAAGATTGAAAATCCTTCTATCTTTCTGCTGATAGTCAGTAGAATTGCTACTTTTCACTAGGCTAAATTGTTTTTTGTACACAAAATGAAAGATGTAACATTATGTTCTTCCAATTATTAAATCACTCATATTCATCATAAGATATAAAAACCACTTAACGAGGAAATAGGTATAACATGAAAACATTCCTCATTAATCCACACTGCCACCAAACTTTAGATTGTTGAGAAATTGTTCAGTTGCTCCTGTATCTCTAAATGAATGATACATGTTTCTGGGAGCTTGTAGGAGACCACTCTGGGTGGCGTGGGCACAGCCCCCAGTTGCAAACATTTACTACAAAGTAACTTCCTAAAATCTGTGCTAAACCTTTCAAGGAACAGTGTAACTGGTTCAACCAGTTTTGCCCTTTCATTTGCAAATATCCCTTTTCTTTGATATGATTAGCAGCACTGGCTTCTTCGCTTTCTGTAGAAGGTAACCACCTAAAGCAACCTGTGCATAGTACATAAGGACCATCGTGTAATGTGCCCAGAAACCCAATAAAGGCTGATCATGACAAGGGCCCCCGCTTTTGCCCCCCTTGAGAGAAAAGCCACACTGTCCCTTTTCCTCCACTGGACATGGTAGTCCGTGTGAATGTCTCATTTCATTTATAATGACATGACACTGCGGGCCAGTGTCTGCATCAGGAGCTTATTTGCCCATTCAGCAGTGGGGCACAGCTACTTATATACACCCTTGACCAAAGATTGATCTCCTCCGGTTGGGAAGGTTGTCCTCTTCAACCAAATGCACAGCTTTGGGAAGGACACAGGTGGATTGGCGAGGGAGAAAGGGACACCAGCCTAGCCAGCTGGATCAGCCGAGTCAGCCCTGGTGGTCACTGGGGTGACAGATGTCGCAGCCAGATTGCCCTCACATCTATATGATACATCTTTTTAAATTGTGCACGTGATACTGTTACCGAACAAGAGGTCCGAGGGAGGGGCAATACAATATTTGGCTCACCTAGGGATGCCAAATATTGCTGCATAACAGGGGCCCCTCCCAAAGACAAAATACTGATATCTACTGGGCTCTTCTGTCCGACGCCAATTGGAAAGACATCTCTCAATGCCAGAGATTTGTGAAAAGGAAACAAAATGTTTATTTAATGCTATTTAGGCTTAATGCCACTACTAAAATATCAAAGTTCTTTAGGATATACACCTACACCCACACAGCGCTCCCTTCTCCCACTGTCCCAACTCCGGGTACCGTAAATCAGGAAAAGAGCACAGGTCTGTGTTGCAGGCCGCTGGCACCATCAGCTGTGTCACCGTGCAGGCAGGATCTCTCTCTAGTTAATCCAAAGTACTGTGGTACCCTCTCATGGTCCACTGGCAAGAGTTCTTTGTACCCAGTTCCAGTCAAAGTCTCTCCTGCTTCCCAGGCCCCGTGGACAAACGGGGCACCCCAAAGCTGCGTGGGCCTCTTCTACCAAAGCTGCAGGGGTTCTCACTCCACCAAAAGCACGTGGCTTTCTTCTTCACCTGGCTGCAGGGATCTCCATTCTGCCCCAAACGGCGTGGTTTTCCCTTTTACCTGGGCAGTTATTGCCTCATGTCCTGGAGCCCATATTTTCCAAGCTCTCACGCAGGCCTTCACTCAGGAGCAGGCACCTCACTCAGGGGCGCAGCCCCTAGTTTCCTCTCCTGGGTCCAAGCCACTCCTTCTCCCTGGCTCCAAACTTGGCCACAGCTATTTAACATATCTATGAAACCAGTTAAAGGTTATGGATATGTTAAATAACCATTCCAGAGGTTAGCTGCAAAACTGTTGCTATGCAAAACAGCTCTCAATGGCCCTGCTCTATTGGTCCCTTCCCCCTGGGGGCGGGGCGGGTGAGGACATCTTATATGTCTCTCCAACATTCCTATACACTTTGAATTCTGGACACCATTCCATATCTTTTTGGGGGGCTCCCCCCCTTGGCTGCACCCTGTGTCAATACTGTTACTCAGATGGAAATCAACAACCCAGTCATCCACCTCAGTAAGTTGCAAATGGTAAATAAAGCTTAAAAGTGTATAGAAGGAAATTTTAAAAATACAAGCATTAATTAATGAAATAAAAATAAACATGAGGTAAAGAGGATCAACTAAAAAGCCTAGCACCTTTAAAAAGGTCAGTAAATTGATAAATTCTTAAGTAACTCATCAAGAAAAAAATAACAGAAATAAGCAAGAAGACATCACTACAGATTCTAACGTCAGCTTTAAAAATAGAATATTATACACATTATGCCAATAGAGTTAAAATCTTGGATGAAGTAGATACATTTAAAAAAACTATAAAATCATCCAAGAACAAGTTTTAAACAAACTGCATGCTAATATAACTATTAATGAAATTTCATCTGCAATTTAAAAAAATTCCTACAAAAAAAACACTGGTAAGATATTCACTGTTGAGGTCTTCAAAATGTTGAAAAAAGAAAGAATACCAGTTTTACACACAATTTCCAGAGAAAGAAAAAATATTGATGGAATACTTCACAAATCACTTTATGATACCAGCAGACTTGAACCCAAATTTTGACAAGGCCAGTAAAATGACAAGGCAGTTACAGTTGAAAATCTCTCACAAAGTGAACACCAATTCTAAGCACTTGCAGACTAGGGACCACTAGCAGGTGCCCTGACTAGGAACTAAACCCACAACCTATGCATGTGTTCTGACTGGGAATTGAACCTGCAACCTTTCAGTTTACAGGATGATGCTCCAACAGTGAGCTCCACTGGCCAAGGCAAGATAAATAACTCTTTAAAGCAAAAATATTTTGAATATTATGTTGGGTTCATAACACTTATAAAATAGAAATGTATGGCAATAATAATCTAATAGAAGACATGGAAGAAATGGCATTCACTATACTGTTGGAAATTTCTTACTGCTTGACATATGCCATAACATTTGAAGTTATAATGATAACATAAAGATGCATACTGTAAACTCTTAAAGCAACCACTAAAAATAATAAAAACAGTATCTCAATAATGGAGAAACCATTAAATCATTAAAATACCAAATTAACCTATTTTAAAAAGCAGGAAAATGTCGAAACTATGAACAAATGT